CCACCAGTTTATTTCCATGTCATCCAAAATAAGCAAAGAAAAGACATATAATAACCCTCCGCCCCCCTATAGTGCTTACGTAATACTTGAACGGCCCCAGATCATTAGGTTTTGAATTTAATTTAAATGTATTAGTCTCACAGCTTGTTACACTATATAAAACTTGAATGAAGGATTAGTGAAACAAGCATTGAACTGACAATGGTTTCTTTAACAACACTTGGTATGCCTAATCGCATGGTATATTTAAATTAAACGTAGCCTACCGCGGCTTCTCTTTCCGATGTGGTTGCTACCGGTGCTTCCATCACCGGAGCGTCTGTTACATCACATTTGAATTCACGATTATGCGGTCTAGGTCGTGGTAATAAACCACTAGGCCAGGCACAACGTTCCCTTTCTATTTTTGTAGATAAGTAGGAGTTTATATAGATGTGAGTGCCATTATTTAAACGAAAGACCGGATGACCTAATGACTAATTCGTCAGAATGATAACATATACGGTCGTTTGGTAGGTTTTACTTCTCAAGTGATAAACTAAATTTTATCGATTGGGTATTCTACAGCAGTACTAGTTAGTTGAAGTATTATATAATGTATGTTAGTTTGTGTTTTCTTGTCACGTGTGATAGCACGGCATTCGCGGTTTCTAATTTAAAAAAATTTTAAAATTTTTATTTATTATTCTAAGGAGTATATTATATAAACGTTCCAAAAATGGTCGTTTCATTTATTATTATTAGAATGTTGTTTTAATCTTCGATTACTAATATTGATGATTGGAGGTTGTAATGGAGGAAAATTGCTATTTATTACACTGTAACCAGTTTATTTCAAGCAAGTATGATATGTTAAATGAAACTTTAATTTTGATGTAATACATATAATTTATGGTTGTCTATAAAATTGTAAAATTTATTTATTGTACATATAATAACAGCGTATTTGTTGTTAAAAGTATTTATAAGCTTTCGATTACGGCCTCAGTGGTCTAGCGGTTTAGCACACTTTACTTCCGATGGTCGCAGTTTCGATTCCTCGCACGGTGCAAACATTTTTATTAATGAGTACGATTGTTTGTATCGGTCTGGGTGTTTTTTATGTATATTATGTGTGTATTTACAAAAAAATCTAAGTACATATATCAATTGTCTAGTATAATAAAACAAGCTCTGCTTTCCGTGGGACTAGATGAAGCTGTGTTAATTGTCCAAGTAAAAAATATAAACATCGTTTATTTTCAGTACTACTTAAATACTTTAATCTTAGAATTTAAGTATTATAGTTATATAATATACTATTATGGCAGACAAATTAGCGTCCACATCATGAGGAATAACGATTGCGTAAATGTTCATCACTGAAGGAAACTACTTGCGTTGTTACAATTTTATTTGAGTTTATTTTTGGCATAGCAATTAACATTACGTGCCTATTTACATTGTAACACCATTTGTAACATTGTTATCTAAGTCTGGAGTAATTGAATCCATCCGATATGGGTCATGCGGCTACTTATCATACATGTGCCCGGTCCTGTTTGATAATACCAATGTTTTTCTTATTTTGTTTATTTGTTTACGGTTACGAAGATATTGCTGTGTTAATGATGTTTGTTTGTCTGTCTCGACTGTATTTTTCTATACAATAAAATAGATAGTTTTTATCAATAAAACAAGTAATACAGCTGCAAATTGATTAATGAAATTTAGTAACAAAATTATCTATAATCGAAGAATTCGTATTGAAGCGATTTTTTATGTTATCTATGGTTCCTCTGTACTTACACATTACCCATAAACAGCAATAGTGTACGTATGCTGTTATGCTAATACGTAATTGCTAAAATATATCAACGTATATAAGTACCTACTAACATAATTCTAACTCAAAATAATAATTAATATAGTTACGTATATTTTTTTCAATTTGTCTAACGGATTTTCAAGACTAATATATTGATTTTGCCAACAATCCTATCCTCCGTAGGTAGTTCTATAATAATTTTGTATCGATGGAAGTCTAATTTGTATATGAATTAACACTTTGGTGTAGGCCCGTAAACGTGTTTTTTCTCAAATGACAAGCCGTCTAATAACGATCAAAATACGACAAATAAAAATAAACAAGGAAATGTAAATACACCTAATTGGCTTTATGGCTGGATACCTTTGCCTGCCTATATGGCGAAAAAGAAACAAAACATCAACAATTACTCGACCGAATGTCACATATAGACGCTTTTTTGAAGCTAAACATACTATCTATACATATCATATCTTACTTATACTGTCTATTCCATATTCAAAAACGTCATATCTTTACTAATATTAATTCTAAACTGCGATCTATTGTTGTCATTGTTGTATAAATGTAATCAATACCTAATAACATTCCCATACAAAAACAGTGCGGATTCTATTTATTATTCGATCTACGTACTCAATACTCATACAATGCGCTGATACTTGTAGCATCAAGAGTTAGAACTAAAATATTATCTTTATACACTTACATGGTCGCTCGACTGACATTGAATGCAAGGTTCACCGAACTCCAACATTTGACATAGTAATTGGACACGACGTTACAAATATCTGAGTCAGATTGTATTGTTATTGGTTTTATAGCGTTTTAGTATTATTTTATGCTGGCATTGGAATTTATTTCGACGATTAATGATAGATATTTGTAATAATATTCTTATGGTAGAGTGCATGTGTGTACATTTATGAGAATTTTGTTTTGTAGACTTAATTGTTACTCAAATGCAGCTTAAATTTAACTAAGGGTGACTTTTATTCTTTGTTTATCATATATATACCAATAACTTCATACTTACCAATTGGTATGTCTTTATAAGAACCTTATTTAGTAGTTTATATTAATTAACATAGGTATTATAAAAAAATATTATAGAAAGAGAATTTAAGATAATAAAAGATTAATTTAAATTTGTTTATTAATTTTAACATTATGTTTGAAGAGATAGACATACAGATATATATGTAACATATCTTCGCATTAATATTTATATATAAATTTGTGTAGCAACAATATATCCAATTTGTAGGTACGGTACATAGTTATTACTGAAATTTAATAATCCCAGACATATCAAATAATAAGTTTAGCAGATGTAAACTGTGCAAATGTGTTCAACAATTCGCAACCTTGACCACATATGACATAACGATATATATGTATACATGTATCGAGTATATAATTATATATATTATACTAACATATAACTGTGGTTATTTCAAAGTTTTTGATTTAGATAATTACTATGAATAAGTTATAAATGGACTGCCCACTTAATAGCACGTTATCTTTCTTACATAGGTATGCAAACAGCATCATTTTAATATATTCTGTGACGTCAATCATGCGAACACCAATCATCTTGAATTATTTCTTATTTATCTACTTTGTTATGCTTTAGGTATATACTGTAACACTAAAGATACAAACTCTCTTACAAACAAGATACCAAGTATTACAATTTAGCATAATTTGAATTAGTATTTAAATAATGTTAAATAAAAATGATTGCTATTAATAATTAGCGTATTAACTTTTGAATAATTTAGACAGATATTTTTATAATAATTAAATAATATAATATACTTTATAACGATAACTACCAGTCTATAATAATTTACAATACAAAATATGTTGTAATATATACGAGTATATGACGGTATTATTCAAAATTACGGATTGTTATAAAATAGAATTCTAAGTAGGTACATACCTAGAGAATTTCTCTAGGTTCTAGGTACCTACTAATTGTTTATTTATGATATTTTATTTGTTATTAAAATGTTTATTTGCTGTTCGTTATTGTGTTGAATACCTCACGTATGTTAAATTCCATCGTATTAATGACTGTACCATAGATGATGTAATAGTTACTATGTGCATTACTGCCTCAAGGCAGTAACAGATAAGACTAGAAGGAAATAATATTCTACTTATAATTACTTTCTGTATATCTGCCACATAAATACTAGTATCTACTAACAAAAAAACAGATTGTCCGATTTAACATTTCAATAATATTGTAAGAAATCTTTTTTCCTATAATTATTTGCTTATGCCAACCATAATCTATCGTTATTTTTTTAGATAAATTGGACAACATATACTTTATAACTATTGAGAGTGTTTTATGTATTTTTTTCATTCAACGATGTAGGTACGTCCTTAATTTATTATTAAACTAAATATATATATTTTTCAAATAAAAATAATTTTTAGTCATAATATTACTTTCATGCTTGATAATGGATTAACTACAAAAAGTGAATAACATAAAAATCAACATATTAAACATATAATAAGAAATATGATATGTAACATAATTTATATTTTATTAAATTTAAATAATTACCACTACTTAGAGGTACATTTCTATTCTCTTGTTATATAATGAAACTGGTAATATATTCAGGTATGTATTATAGTATATTTAAAATAGATTACAATGTTGCTAAATATCTGTATGATTTATCTATAAGTATTCAAATGCCTGATTCTGTGATCACGTCAACTCTACCGAGATATCAGTTTAACCAGAATATTTTAACACTAGTTAACAAGTGAACGCTAACTGAAACCACTAAATATCAATGTTCATGCTATTTTTAGTGTCTTTATGAGTTATTTGGAATGGGTGTTATTTTTAGGTAATAAAAATTACCGTCTAAATGATTGTGGAAAAAATGCATAGCGAAATTAATTTTTATCGGAAGTTTTTTTTTGGGGAATAGAAAATAGAAAATTTTATGAAAGTATCGAAATCTGCGTATTTACTAAAATTAAAAATGATGGCGGTTTAAAGCTACAGTAATTAGGAAGAATTTTTTTAGTTACAATTCAATAAAATTGAAAGATTTAGTTAATTATGAATATCATGGTATTTTTAGGTACAACACAATAACTAAATACCTCAGATTTTTCAACAATTAAACAGTTTGTTTGTCTTTGTCCCCAGTTGTGTACTGTGACTACAATGGGTCTGGTCGTGCCCTGCATTGGATAGAGGAGTACATAGCGCGGGATGTGCTGCCCACTCATGCCACACTGTGCACGGCGCTCTCACACACATCGGGACAAAGTGACATCTACAGGTGAGTCACAATTTACGTTTTTTTATGACTTTGTAATAATAATGTAATATAATTTATTTATTTCTCCTCACAAACATGGATGGCAGAAAATACTACATGTATTTTTGTATTACAATTCATAAAAAATAATTTTACAAACGATTTCTGGTGTCTGAAATAGGTATAAACTGTAATACAGTCACAGGTCCCCAACTGAATGAATTGGTCTAGCGGTTTAGTACACACCGCTTTACTTTTGATGGTCGCGGTTTCGATTCCTCGCGCGGTGCAAACATTTGAATTCATGAGTATGATTGTTTCTATCGGTCTGTGTGTAATATGTACGTATTGTAAATACTAATATATATATATATATAGTAATTGCATCAGTTGTCTAGTGTGCACCTATAACACAAGCTCTTACCGTGAGTCTAGATGGCGCTGCGTTAAATGTCCAGGGTAATTTTTTTATTATTATCTGTTTATTTATAATTATGATTCTAATCCTAAGGGGATGGATATTAAATGAAATTCATGAGACTATTTAAAAAGCAAATATATCAATTTGACCATATTTTTAAGTTATACATTTTTTTTAATTCATAAATACCAATATAGAGTTTATTAGTTTTTTTATAATTGAAAATAATATTTCGTGAGTGTTGCCCTGCCTTGTTGGGTCTGCTTGTTCTCATTTTTGATATTGATCCCTTAATGAACTATCCATTGCATTTGTCATCGCTAGCAATACGTATTAAAGAAAGTACCCCACGGTACAGTGTGATAGCGATCTCAAATTTATGTCTCTATGTTCTTATCTTGACATTTTGCATGTAAATAATGTCGTGGCAACGATTCGTGACTTCAAGATTAAGAAAATACGTTAGTCGTTGTTATCTTTGATTTCAAACGGGAGATGCCAATATCTATCTAACATGTAAAAAAATCGTAGTTACCATGCAAATCTATATAAGTAATGGTATTTCTCGTTAGAAGATAATTTTTTTATAATATTCTTTCGATAAGTTGAAACTTGTGGACAATTAATACACCAATTAGAGTATATATAATTTAACTAAGATGTTATGATTCAGTATTTAGCCCGACAATGCATGTGTAATTTATGATATTGTTTATATGTAAGATGATATGTAGATACATACTATCTAATATATCAATGTTGTCACTATCGAATAACAGATGAGGTCTATCCACAATACTGCTCACAACGTATCCCCTATTAGGTTGGCTGGAAGAGTTCTCTGTCAGATAAACCCATCCTAGCTAATATTATTTTATACACAGTTAGCAGTGCAATAAAAAGTCTATAAATCCTTAGTGGTCCAAATATGTATAGTACCTATCTGTAAATATTTATATAGCCGAGTGATTTACGTTTAGTTTGTGTGTCCGTCTCATTGGTCTATTTGGTATTATTTATATTTTACTAATAGATTTTTAGATTATTTGTTAGTAAAATAAATATTAAATATTAGCTCTGTTTGTGGATTTATATTGATATGTACATGTTTATAAGTACTCTTTTTCTATATGGAGGGTTGTATATCGGAATCATGTATTTTGAGAAAGTACACTAGGTTTAAGTAACGAATCAAAAACTAATTTAAAAGTATAAACACAATTTGTTTGTCAGAGAAATATAAAACCATGTTGATACAATAGTCAGGCTTTTAATAAGTGTTCCCTTTTTGATGTATATATAATTCATGACATTAATTGTAATTGTTTAACTTCAATCATATTAATTTTAAACATGATTATCATTTTATTTCACAGATTTGAATCGAAGGAGGTTATCAGAAATGCGGTTGGAGCATGCCCTGAGGATGCAGTCGTGCTCGGAGCATCCTTGGCGAGGTTCCTCAGGACTTTACGGCCAGATAGAGTTGCCCTCTTTGTATCCTCCAGAGAAACGGAAAGGCAGCTGGCCCCGTGGAAGGAATTCGGTGCTGAGGTAAGAATACATAATTGAAATAGTATTTTATGTCTATTTTTTATGAATTTATGTATATTATGCATTATATAAATAAATTTAAAAAATCTGAGACATTCTGGAATTGTCACACAGCGCAATATATTCACAAACTAAGCAGAAAAGCAGAGCTAACCATAGGGTAGTTATTAAGCATGATATATATACAAAACATCCAGACATTTTTATGGTTTTGTATTCTGCATATATAATTTGAAAATTGAAGCTACGACTGGCAGTATTTATAAAATATATATGGTATTGTATTGTGGCTATATATTTTTTTATAGTGACCAAATTAAATAAATATATTTAATTTAATGAATATAATACTGTTTAACTCATTAAACAGTATTATATTATATGGTTTTCAGGGTGTAATAGAATACTCATATTCTATTACACCCTGAAAACTATATTGTTCTATAGATATACAGTAGAAGCAGTATACTCGAAGAATACGTTTACTCATACAAGTATAAAAGGAATTCTGTGTATAAGAAATACTAGCTGATAAGAAATAGTGCCAAAGTTGCGTCCTTCACATAACCAGTTAACTTGACTTTTCTTTATTATGCAACAATTCTACTATCGATAAATTCCTCGTCTTATCACTTACCATACGCATGGTACCACAATCGTATTCACACAGGTTATTTACGTATTGTATAATAAAATCTATTTGCCATATGCGGCAATATTGATATTGTATCGTACGAAAAAACCAGACTTACATAATAACCGTATCGTTTATATATCTGTATTGGATAATGCTTTTTAACGTGAATGAAAAAAAAACTACTATTTAATAGATATGAAATTCAGAAAGAGCAGACTTTTTGTAAAAATTAATAACATCTTTAAATAATATGTAATACAAATATGTTTAACTTTTCCATGTAATGTTAATTTTCGTGAAAATTATTCTCATCTAAAAACAAAAACTAACACTAGATTTCGGGTTATTCCTTATTTCCGGATTCATACAAAATAAAGCAGGAGCCACATTGAAAGCGAAAATTTCTTAATTATTATTAAGTAATAATAAAGTTTTTTCAACGTGGATCTTTCTCCCAATAAAGAAATTTATCAAATTCTCACGGGTTTCGTCTGATCAGTTTCGAAGTTATAGTTATTTTCTTATAAAACAAATTCGTTCATTAGCCTAGGGAGATAATAATATATGGATATTGCGGTGAGTAAAATCTATTTCTGGTCAGTTTATCCTTGAAATCTCATACAACGTCTAGTGTAGTTAATACAACAGCTGTAGCGAAATATTTTCCTCTATTGTTGTCACAAAAATATTTGAGTACAACATCTTACTATCTGACTAATATTATAAACCCAAAAGTTTATGAGTATGGATGGATGGATGGATGTTTGTTCTCTTTTTTTTTCAAACTTTTCAGTAATACGAGTATAGCTTTTACATCATATAATTTAAAATGATATTCTGTATATTGGGCTATATAATATATTAGGTAAGTGTAATGCAGACGAGGTGCGCGGATCAGCTAGCTTTGCCTATATTAATGCTAAAGCATTAATTAACATTTTATTTTACCATTTTTACAAATTATTTTAAATATAATTGTAAAAATTGTACATTTATATTTTATGTATCTTTTCTTAGTGCATTATTACATTTAATATTATGTTATATTCCATTATTTATTTTTGTCATGACAAGTTTTTAGTATTAGTTAAACATGGCAACACCGAGTACCTAAGTGTTAACTAAATAAATATATATAAACTGGTTAAAACAATATTTGTATTTTTTACAGACCAAGTGATTGTACCGCGATATACGTACAGATTTTTTTGTTATAGTATTTAAATACATACACGTATAGGTTTTTGATATTTTTAATGTTGACAAACATAAACGTACATACATATTTGCATCCACACATATACAAGTATGAAACCGGACGAACCAAGATATAAAGAAATATATGTAAAAGATCCGTATTAAGGTGCTGCCTGGTAAGGAATTTGACCAAAAGATAGATAATTTTATGTTCGTTATTTCTTCAATTTACATGGTGTTGTAACTTAAAAATAGTGAGTTTTAAAAGGTAGGACAATCTTAACATATACAAATAAAAATAAATCTGATATTTAAAATTTATACCTTTTAATATAAAAAAATAAGAATGAGTATTATTTAAAGTGTTCATTGCAGAATTTAATATGTATTACATGACACAACACAGTCGTATAATTGTTACATGGAGTGTTAAATTTTATTGACATTCCGCAATCGTAGGAGTTATAGCTATACGAAATTAAATAATTAATTTTATAGCTGGAACTATGTCATTAGTTCACAAGTCAGTATATTTAAACTGTGGTTTCCGTTGACCTATAATTCAATAATAAAAAAAGATATGTCTGTCAGATTGTCTATTGGTATGTCTTGAGAAATTAGAGAGACGGCCTCGGGGGTCTAGCGGTTTAGCACTCCGTTTTACTTCCGATGGTCGCGTGTTTGATTCCTCGCACCGTGATACTATTATATTTATACTTGTTTATTTTTATACATTGTTTATGTGTTGGTTTTTGTAATTGTATTAAGCAAATATAATATACTTTCTAAAAGCAAGTCTAAAATAATATTAATTTGGAAGATTAAATCGACTTAACTGTAATATTATCATCATTAGCATACTGCAGTCCACTGCTGGACATAGGCCTCTCCCAAGGCACGATCTTCAGCTCTTTTCTTCCTATTTCGTCGCTGCACCTAACTGTAAAATACTGGTATATTTTATATTTTTACATAAGATAAAATGAAGTCGCTTCTGCTGTCAGTTCGCTTAGATCTTTTAAACTACGTAATGAATTTTAATTAATTTTTAGCAGCAGATAGAGTGATTCAAGAGGAAAGTTCATATGTACTCGTATAATACATGTACACCCGTGCGAAGCTGTGGCGGGTAGCTAGTCACTGATAAATAACTTTAAGATGTTTTAAAGAGCTCCGTCCCCGTTACGTCATCATAAGTTTTGCGCATTTAATTCGTGACTATACTTCTTGAAGAATTGTCCTTGTGTTTATTACAGTAGTAGGCCCCTACTGACCCTGAAATAGCATACCACGATTCCTATATTTAAACAACGGTGACTTTTGTGGTTTTATTTGTAGCAAGCGATCATTCGCAATTATTGTATGAGCATGATTTGGGATTAGACATGATTTGTCCATTAAAACTAACAAGATTTTATTTAGTAGGTACTTATTTTATTTTGTTACGCTTACATGAGCTGTATAGGTTCATTTCAAAATATATTTTACCGTTTAGGTGTTGTTTTGTCGAAGTTTATGGTAGTGGTTGGATATTGGTATGTGAGATTGAATGAACATTGATTGTGGCGTTCTGTAGAAACGAACACTGTAATGATATCGGGTTTTAATCTTTTGCTCTTTTCTATATTCTTTAATCATAGACTAGCAACGCATTAATTCCATATTACGTGTTCTATGAAAGAACCAACTGTAATTTTAGTTTCGTGTTGATTACGTACAAAAGAACAGTAAAAACATGCATTCTATTGAAACCAATACAGACATTTTATTAATACAGTTAAACGCTGATAATTTTATGGTAAAAAAGGTAATAAATATCTCTATTTACCATAAAAATTGTGTACCAAACAAAGGCAAAAGTTCCAAAATAAGAAGATGACATTATTACATAATAGTGTTTACTGTGGAGTATCTCAATATTGATTTCCATCCAAGGAAACTGAAAATCGTGGGTTCTGCATTTGATTATCGTTTTGGTATATAGATTACATTCTTCTTTGTTTACTAGTCTATATCTTGGTTCCTTAGCATATTTTACATACCTATTTGTGCACGATATTTCCGCAAACATTGAAATGTAAATAGTGTTATCAAATTTACCTAACATTATGTAGGTATTACAGTAATTATGTGAGAATTAATGCAAAATACCGACTATTTAGGTCAGTTCTACACACACGCGATGTTACAGGTCATTCACCTACATAGAACCTATATATTATAATAGAAATCATATTGAAATCAGAGCTTCTTAATTATCTTAACATTCAGATTGGTAGGTAGGTGTATTTGGGAAAATCTCATTCATCATTCCGATGTTGTGTGTGGATTAGATAGTTGAGTGTTAGGCGTCTGGCGATAAAACAACCAGTACCAAAGTAGACTTTGTGAAAAGTCGTGTACGTGGGTGCCTCTGTCTTACCGATTTTAAACGCCAAGCAACTTGCGTTGTAATATGTATTTCAGTTGAGAGGTGAGATCAGACAGTAAAATTACAGGACCATATGGATGACATCTTAGACTGACCTTACCGTATGACACTCGTAACACGGCTGTCAACGATGGTTACCACTTACCATATGGTTGACCGTCAGCTTATTTGCAATTACAGTCATATTTCAGAACACAAGAAACATATTTTCTAAGATACTTAGAGGGTATAGGGTTCTATACAACATTTGTAGATTCTTAAATGCGATATTTAAATTTTAGGTAAACTTAAACATCCTGTGGTTTAAAATATATGTAGATTATTTGCTGTATTTCAATATTATTCTATTTTTTTATATTTTGTTATTCCGGTCTGTTAAAAGGATTTAAAGCTTTAACCGTCCGGTTTAATACCTATGATGATAATAACAAACTGATTAAACTATGTATTCTCTATTTAAAGTGTTACTTTTGTTTCAGATAATCAAAATACCAGAGACAAAGGAAGGCTTTATAGATTTGAATAACCTTGAGCTTAGACTACAGCAAAAATCTGGTTCGGGGAAACGAATGATCGGTTTTTTCCCAGCTGCCTCGAAACTTACTGGTGTTTTGGCTGATGATGTGGCTACCACGTTACTCCTGCACCAGTATGGTGCGTGGTCCTTCTGGGATTATACGTTAGTGGCACCATCTTCGTCTGTCGACATGAACCCCACGTTTGCTGGCGTCGAAGATGAAATGGTGAAGAAGGATGCTGTATTCTTTAACTGTGAAAAGTTTATTGGTGGTGTACAGGGTCCTTATGTGACAGTTGTGAAGAAAGATGTTTTCAAAAATACTCTTTTTTATACGGATGATGTTGAGGTTAGTATATATCTTATAAGGAATATATATATTGTTGCTATATAATATTAGCAATATGACGTAAATCGTATAGGCTCTCATAAATAATCTTATTATATTTTTTATAATTTAATTCATTAATTAAATAATATAGTTTCTAGATGCTTTATTTATTGTTGTCGTTTAATCTCCCTCAATAGTCGGATATCTACCAATGTACATGCTTATAAAGCCAGTAGATATAAATAAAACTTTTGCAGTTAATTCAATATATTTTTCTATCGCTCCCACGCTAATATGTAATGGTAATCCGTAATTAGCGTGGGTGGTAGTGGTCGGTCAAGTAACCTCTTCAAACCCACGCCAGATCATATGTTTATTACTTAGATTGATACTTTAGACTAGCTGTAGAGCTTTGTGTAATTCATCTATTACAAAACAGCAAATTAGTTTACTTTATATAATACTTCTTATTATTTTTGTTTGCTAAAACTTTTCGTTATCTTATTAATATTATAAAAGCGAAAGTTTGTGCATATGGATACATGGATGTTTGATACTCTTTCACGGTAAAACTACTGAACGGATTTTGATGAAACTTTACAATCATATAGCTTTCATGTGGGTGAAACCGCAGGCAAAGCTAGTATGGCTTAATTCTTAGATTCTTTCATTTAATTAGTATATGGTAGCTTTGGTTGGTATATGATCTAATAAAATTATATAGGTTCTGAGAGGAAGGGCTTATTAGTAAGGGGGATGCGGTAGTCCCAGGAAACCATCCTGGTTAATACGTGCGTATTAACCAGGATGGTTTCCTGGGATGAATTCGTCACGACACCTGATTTATTCTCATTTTATCATCCTTAACTGGTGCCCCTCCAGCGTATACCATTAGAGCAGATATTTGCATCATTCCATTACCACTCTTTAAAAAAATATACACTTTTGGTATGACATATCCTAAATGTATTATTTTATTTGTATATGTTTTTACTAACATTATTTTGTTTACCAGGTGTTATCGGAGAGAATTGAAGAGTTAAAGTCAACGGAGGCGGTGAGGGCTGCGATCGTGATGCTGCAGCGAGATGCTATTGGTCTACAGAACATAACCGACAGACAAGACCACATTACTAGGTAAGTTTCATTTTTTAGATATCTATTAATATTATAAAGCTGAATATTATTTTTATTTCATTGAACGCGCTGATCTCAGGAACGAAATAGGTAGATAAAAAAATATAGTGCGATATATATAGTGCGTAAATATAGTGAACTATAGCGCGTTTATCGAGGAAGGTTGTAGCCTATATAGGAGCAATGTGAGCGATGCATCATTAAAAATTATATAAAATTGGGAAAATTTATTCATTTTGACATTTTATTTTCCCTACGCGACACAAAAAGCCCCGATCAATTTTCCTTCTCAAATGAAATCTAAATGATAATATCTATTACAGACGCTTATAATAAGTCAAATCTACTGATAGTTCAATAACTAATTAGAACTAAGTAAACTGACGAGAAACTCTGCACTCACTCTTTTTCCTTTCATTTCTTTTTTCTCTTTCAAATACCATTGTACAATATTACATTATTATAATAATAGATAATTATTAAAGATTAGGTTTAGGACCATCGGCATACGCTATTAATTAATATCGCATGACTAATTCAATTAAACAACATTGATACCCGGTATAGCTATTACATAAATTAATAATGCAAACATTATTCAAATAAACAAATACATATATCAGTGACAAGTCGACGGTGACAAGGACCGTAAACTATCTGACGAAACCAAGAGAACAATGGAAGTAGCAACTATTATGATAGCTCCTGTTTTAACAGGTCTCAAAACAATATTACAAGTGTCTATTCAATTAATGTAGTATATGATATCCTATACATATATAGTAGGTTAAGGTTTCTTAAGGCATGGCAACGCGCACGTGATATCCCTGGTGTTTCAGGCATCCATACGGCAACGATAACCATTTACCATCAGATGGGCCGTCTTGGCTATTCTTCTCTACTGAATTTACATAATGACCTATTATAGTTCTAAAAATTACCCTTCTGAAGTGTTTATATTCGTTTAAGCTTATAATAAAATTATTTTTATTATATATTAGCTTTTGCCGCGGCTTCACTCGCGTTAATTTATCCCCTTAGGGGTGGAATTTATCTAAATCATTTCTTAGAGGATGCCTACGTCATAGTAGCTTAATGCATGCAAAGTCTCAGCCCGATTGGTTTAAAATTGACAAAGTTTCATCCCTATTTTATCCCCTTGGGGGAGGAATTAATCAAAATCCTTTCTTAGCGGATGCCCACTTTATAACATCTACCTACCATGCCAAATTTCAGACCGATCCGTCCTGTGTTTTGGGCTGTGCGTTGATAGTTGAGTTATATATATATATAGATTATGTCGAAAGTTATTACTCATGATACATGTATATATATTCATAACAATAGAAAACACAGTATATTGCAACCTTCTATTGTAAACACAACTATTATTATTATTATTATTATTATTATATACAAATTACTCTAAATAATTTTAATAAGTATCTGTCTATGTAGATATGTACAGTTAGGAAATATACTTTTGATACGAGATTATAACATGTCTATCGTATTCTGTAAATATCCTTCCCATAGGGCTTAAATTCAGTCCTCCAGGGTTGTTGCCCTCAGAGCTGATGCCTCGCGTGACTCGCCCCTAAGTCCCAATCTGTCAATACCTGGAGGAGAGGGAATGTCTGATCGACCTTTCCTCTGATTGACGGTCCCCCCTGGAAGCCATCGTGATTAATTTCCGCTCATCGTGGCTAACTGGCCTTATTCACACCTTATACTTCACTGGTATACCGTTAGCGCAGGCGGGTGAACCATACCATTATCAACCATTAAAAAAAACCTACGTCCTCTTAGCGAATGCGGATTCATTTGTATTTATATAAAGTTTTGTTTCTTTACATAATACGTATATTATATACTTCATGCACTATCTATTAGTTTTATACCATATGAACTTGTCATCATTGCTTGTTTACATCACATTCCAATAGCATTATTTATTGAAATATCACAACAAATTACTGAACACTGAAATCTTGTCCACAGCTGTATACCAAACAGCTACTGTTTATGCTTGATAAGTGTGTTTATTCGCGAGGTCGTTAGGTAGTAGGAAAACTACCGTCTATCGAAGTTTGCCGATCAACTGCGACCGGCTGATGTTTACAAGACCAACGCAAACTTACTCAGGATTCGAATTGTCCAAGGCTTTAACTGCATTACTAGTAAATATTATTTTTTATAAAATATTTTGCTGTTTTTCTTCCGATTACAAGGGTATCATGTTATAGATAGAGTTATGACTATCGTGCTTGTGTAGCCATGTAGAATACGAAACATTTATATGTCTGTTCGAAGCAGAGGTATCTGATGTACTTGATGAATGAGAGGTAGCGAGGGTTTTATGAGGAAAAATATGGAGATAATTGCAATATACAACTGTTACCATAGCGGTACATAATATATTATTAAAAAATATAAAATCCTTAAAGGAATTCGCTATACTGATTATTCGTTTTTTACTAATTAATTTTGTTACGTGTCAATCATTTATATCATAGATACATTCTTTCATTGGTCCATATTTTATTACCACAATTTTGAAACATGTGATATGATGTGAAAACATTGATTCACGTTAATAAACTATATTGGTGACCCAAGACATAATATTACCATATGAATCTCGTATGAATACCCCACCCACGCTCTGTTTCACCAATAAATACAAGGGTCACCACTGAGATATGTTTATGTACATTATTATTTAAATTTATATTTGCTTTTGTATGAAATCAAAAGTGCTTATCTGCAAGAATTATGACAATAATATCAGCCAGTGTGCCCATATATACCATGTACGTGATTAAATGGGGACTGACTATTTTAGGTATGATCAATGAACAAAATATTTATATTACCTTATGATATTATGAAAGACGTACTTATTATAGATCGCATTAAAATAATTACGATTTGATATAAAAATTGTATCAAGATGAAATGTGAAGTTTTTGTACAAAAGTGTACTATCAATTAATCATGAATTATTTTTGATTTTACTTTTGTTAAAAATATAGATCCAAAAAAAACTGAGAACAATATTTTCTATGTTCAAATACAGAAAAGCGCGCACATATAACCATTTTGATGATATTTGGTAATAGTTTATCTGCTGAATAGAGATTATCATCGTTTAAATACGTCACGATCCGCAAGGTGTCTCTTAAGATTCTTTATTATCCAAAATCAATAATTTCATCGCTATGTCCCATGTCTTCTGAATCTCTCTCTCTGGTAACATTTCGTTGAATACCGTCCTGTAAATACTAAAGTTTGCATACACTACAAATAACTTACGAGCCGTCTTTCGAACGTCGTAAAATCTAGACCTCGTTAACCAGTGCCCGCCAATAAATAAATTATGTCAATGTTTGTCCATGCTGCAGCCGAGTGTTGTTTGGTACGGAAGGCGCCAAACATTGCTCGTTGCCAAACCATCACATGCGTCATCAATTGGTACACATAATATTACATATATGTAATTATCTCCAAGTATAATATGATTAATGTTTCACAAGTGTTTCAAGTATCTTTGGCATGTAATAAGACATAATTGTTTAGATATTTACATAGTAGCTCCATTAGAATGCTTACGCTTATTCTATAAGATGGAATGGAATTATTCCTTTTACGAAGAATTCATCACGCATTAGACGAGTTTATCTTTCAAGCCATATAAATATTTGAGATAGGTTTGCATTAAGTTTTCTTTTTTTAGAATATGCTTTTTATGAAATTATTTCTATTATTCTTTACCTGCATCGATAGATAACTTAGCTTTAATATTGAGCTCGGATAAAACGGTAAGAGTCAATCACCACCAACTTAGTTGATCTCCTAGAATCCTTGTTATTTGAATAAGAATCATCATCATGTCATCTTCCACTGGTCTCCATTAGACATTATATCTGAACTTACTCTCTTTTCATACATAATTATCATCTTTGATTGATCTTGGATAACGATATTACAATTAAAAAAGTCGAAACTCTTCCCTAGTCCATTAATACCGCTCAAAATGTGTTAACTGTAAGTTATAATATTTATATTGTTTTAGATGTAGGTATCGTAATATCCACATTCCTCGTATACACAGCGGAAATTTCAAGTGTCTCCCGATAGGACAGAGCATCGAATCCGGGTCATTGCAGTTGCGTGTGCCCTCTAAGTGTCGTTAAATGGGTCAGGGAGTAGTTTGTAGCACTAGCTGGACGGAAATAAAACGAGTTGCCATGCTGCCATTGTACCGTACACCATTCGTTGCGAGTTGTTTGTTCAGATCGACTTGCGGCTTCGCTGTTTGTTCCTCGTTAATTCTTTTCTGTTCAGATATATTTTATATTGTTCTTCCTTATTAATAAATGCTTATTTCATGCAGAATGAATATTTCTTGTTCATATTGTGACTCATTAAACTTTGTTTAATACTCTTTGTGTTGTTATCCTCTACCGTAATTATTTTTGCTTTTATTAATAGAATAGTTTTATGCTGGTTTTCATTGTCTACCTATTATAGTATTATACCTTTATACATATTCATAGAAAATATTGTACAACAACAATTTCGGTATGCCATTATTCAACATGTTATTGGCTCAATAACTTTTCGGCATGTTGTCATGTTCAAATTCTTCATATTTTTTCAGATTATCTAATAATTTTATAAGTCGTGCGACACGGTTTTTAAAAAGAATACTGTAACCCAAATTTTTGTCCTACATTTATAAATATATAAAGACACTGAATAATAGAGACCTAGTTATAATTGAATATGCTCCTTACGAAAGTAGACTATTAAATAATAGAGATTTGTTACAACAAAATTAATTTCTTTACTAAAAGTAATCCTAACGATGGTTTCCTGGTAAACCGCGTGAAAGTACCTATTAGTATACATTATTAGTAATGCGAGAAAAGTCAAAGTTAAAATTAATTAATCATATTGAACCCATTCGGCTGATTATGCAGGTCCTAATTTTGTTT